AATAAGACGATAGTGAAATTTGCCTCATCCATTGACTCTTTCTTTCATGAAGGCTTCTCTGTAGCATGTGATGGTGTTTGATAGCATTTGACTCACAGTAGAACTCTTTCAAAATTGGAGTCAATCTTCTCAAATGCTGTTAGATTTATCAACCTAAATCTATATAATATTCTAAATATTTTGTCATTTAAACAATGCTCACTGTATCTTCACTAGGATTAGATTCCATTTTAAGAAACCACTCTCTGTTCATCCATAAGAAGCAACTCTTCATTTGTTAAATTTTATCATGAGATTGTAGCAATTCAGTCATATCTTCAGGCTCCACTTCTAATTCAAGTGGCTGTACCAATTTTCCTTCACAGAAGTAAATGGAATTCCTGTTGCTTCACATCCTCACCAGTATTAGTGCTTACTTTTTTTTTTTTAATTTATTTATTATTATTATACTTTAAGTTGTAGGGTACATGTGCATAACGTGCAGGTTTGTTACATATGTATACTTGTGCCATGTTGGTGTGCTGCACCCATCAACTCGTCATTTACATCAGGTATAACTCCCAATGCAATCTCTCCCCCTTCCCCCCTCCCCATGATAGGCCCCGGTGTGTGATGTTCCTCTTCCTGAGTCCAAGTGATCTCATTGTTCAGTTCCTACCTATGAGTGAGAACATGCGGTGTTTGGTTTTCTGTTCTTGTGATAGTTTGCTCAGAATGATGGTTTCCAGCTTCATCCATGTCCCTACAAAGGACACAAACTCATCCTTTTTGATGGCTGCATAGTATTCCATGGTGTATATGTGCCACATTTTCTTAATCCAATCTGTCACTGATGGACATTTGGGTTGATTCCAAGTCTTTGCTATTGTGAATAGTGCTGCAATAAACATACGTGTGCATGTGTCTTTATAGCAGCATAATTTATAATCCTTTGGGTATATACCCAGTAATGGGATGGCTGGGTCATATGGTACATCTAGTTCTAGATCCTTGAGGAATCGCCATACTGTTTTCCATAATGGTTGAACTAGTTTACAATCCCACCAACAGTGTAAAAGTGTTCCTATTTCTCCACATCCTCTCCAGCACCTGTTGTTTCCTGACTTTTTAATGATCGCCATTCTAACTGGTGTGAGATGGTATCTCATTGTGGTTTTGATTTGCATTTCTCTGATGGCCAGTGATGATGAGCATTTTTTCATGTGTCTGTTGGCTGTATGAATGTCTTCTTTTGAGAAATGTCTGTTCATATCCTTTGCCCACTTTTTGATGGGGTTGTTTGTTTTTTTCTTGTAAATTTGTTTGAGTTCTTTGTAGGTTCTGGATATTAGCCCTTTGTCAGATGAGTAGATTGCAAAAATTTCCTCCCATTCTGTAGGTTGCCTGTTCACTCTGATGGTAGTTTCTTTTGCTGTGCAGAAGCTCTTTAGTTTAATGAGATCCCATTTGTCAATTTTGGCTTTTGCTGCCGTTGCTTTTGGGGTTTTAGACATGAAGTCTTTGCCCATGCCTATGTCCTGAATGGTACTACCTAGGTTTTCCTCTAGGATTTTTATGGTATTAGGTCTAACATTTAAGTCTCTAATCCATCTTGAATTAATTTTCGTATAAGGAGTAAGGAAAGGGTCCAGTTTCAGCTTTCTACTTGTGGCTAGCCAATTTTCCCAGCACCATTTATTAAATAGGGAATCCTTTCCCCATTTCTTGTTTCTCTCAGGTTTGTCAAAGATCAGATGGCTGTAGATGTGTGGTATTATTTCTGAGGACTCTGTTCTGTTCCATTGTTCTATATCTCTGTTTTGGTACCAGTACCATGCTGTTTTGGTTACTGTATCCACCATGATCAAGTGGGCTTCATCCCTGGGATGCAAGGCTGGTTCAACATTCGCAAATCAATAAACATAATCCAGCATATAAATAGAACCAAAGACAAGAACCACATGATTATCTCAATAGATGCAGAAAAGGCTTTTGACAAAATTCAACAGCCCTTCATGCTAAAAACGCTCAATAAATTCGGTATGGATGGAACGTACCTCAAAATAATAAGAGCTATTTATGACAAACCCACAGCCAATATCATACTGAATGGGCAAAAACTGGAAAAATTCCCTTTGAAAACTGGCACAAGACAGGGATGCCCTCTCTCACCACTCCTATTCAACATAGTGTTGGAAGTTCTGGCTAGGGCAATTAGGCAAGAGAAAGAAATCAAGGGTATTCAGTTAGGAAAAGAAGAAGTCAAATTGTCCCTGTTTGCAGATGACATGATTGTATATTTAGAAAACCCCATTGTCTCAGCCCAAAATCTCCTTAAGCTGATAAGCAACTTCAGCAAAGTCTCAGGATACAAAATTAATGTGCAAAAATCACAAGCATTCTTATACACCAGTAACAGACAAACAGAGAGCCAAATCAGGAATGAACTTCCATTCACAATTGCTTCAAAGAGAATCAAATACCTAGGAATCCAACTTACAAGTGATGTAAAGGACCTCTTCAAGGAGAACTACAAACCACTGCTCAGTGAAATCAAAGAGGACACAAACAAATGGAAGAACATACCATGCTCATGGATAGGAAGAATCAATATCGTGAAAATGGCCATACTGCCCAAGGTAATTTATAGATTCAATGCCATCCCCATCAAGCTACCAATGAGTTTCTTCACAGAATTGGAAAAAACTGCTTTAAAGTTCATATGGAACCAAAAAAGAGCCCGCATCTCCAAGACAATCCTAAGTCAAAAGAACAAAGCTGGAGGCATCACGCTACCTGACTTCAAACTATAGTAGTGCTTACTTTTTAACTGGATTGTTCATTTTCTTATTAATGAGTTTCAAGAGTCTGTGCATTTAGTTAATTGTTATCATACTTTCTATTCCTAAAAGTTATATTTGATTGTTTTAAAAATTGGCTGTGTATTTTTTGCAGTTTCCTATTTGCAGATATTTTCAAGCTTTTCCTTTGTTAAACTTATAGAGTATCATTATTTAAAAATAATTCTTATCTATGTTGTCTTATGGCTTTGTTTCTGGCACTTCTCACTCATGGTAGCTTGTTTTCTTGTGTGCTTTGTCATTTTCGACTGTGTGCTGGAAATTGTCCTTGAAACATTATTTGTGGAGAATCTTTGAGGCCTCAAACAGAGATACCTTCTTTCGGAAAGCATTTGTATTTATATTAATGACAGAAGCCTAGAGGCATTACTAGCCTAAGACCAATTTAGACTAAAATTAAACTACATTCATGGCTTAATATTTTTGGAACTACTTAGGTGATGTGAATAGGACTGCACACCTTCACAATGACTAGTTTATAAATACAGATTCTAAGGGAAATATTTTATTTACGCTCTTCTTTGCTTAGCACAAATACAGTCACCTGGTTTATTTTGGGTGGTGGGGGTGATGAGTCCACCTCCTCTCATCCTTATCATAATAGTGTGGCTATTTGAAATCTCAGCTTAATGTGGGAGGGACCCTATTTAAGTCTCCCATTTCAGCATGCCCTGGGACTTCATGTAAAAATCAAAGTTCACAGTTGCAGAAACTGACAAAGGCCATGGGAGACAACAGCACTGCATTTCTGGGTCCCCATTTTCTTCACAGGCCTCATAATTCCATACTTTCTTATCATTTCTTTGATGTCTTCAAGTTTTTAAAATTATTTGATCCAGAATTTTTAGTCATGAAAGGTATTTATATTTGACATAGAATGCTTAGCTCTGTGAGGGGTTGGTCCCAACCTACTGGTTTGCTTTAGTCTCAGAAATGGAAGTGTCCCTTGTGGTCTTCTGACTCTTTTAGCCCTTCCATATCCTTTACCCTCCATTCACCCTGAAAAGTTGTTATTGTCCAGATTTCTGACCATGGCATAATTTTTCATTTGAGTATTTACTCCCTTGGTTTGCTGACAGTCACTGGCATGGGCTAACATCTTCTTCAATGCAACGTTGCTCTGAGCTACACTTTTCCTTGTGGATGTATTTGCCTGCATCTCACTGAACTCAGCCTTTTCTTAAAGCAGCTTCTCTCCTTTTGTCATACTCATCTATGAAAGAGCACCATTTTCCCAGGTATCATTCTCAACATGTAGAGTCACATGAAGAGTTGTTCTTCATGCTGTGTAATCCGTGCCTAACGGTGCATCTCCAACAGGACTCCTGTCCCCCAATCTTGTCAGCTCTCATCTGAGCCCCCACCACCTTCTGCCTGGCTCCCTTCTCTGTAATCTTCCACCTTTGGTCTATTCTGAGCATTGCCTCCATCATTGACCTCCCTTTTTCAGAAACCCTCCATGAATTCACGTGGCTCAGTAGACAAAAACCCAGACTCCTTAACCAGTTGTCACTTCTGCCCTACATCATCTGCCCTGATGCTTTCTTTCAGGTTTGTGGCCCACACCACACAGGCATCAGGCCAACTTAACAACTTGTAAATTTCTGAACACTTTGTATTTTTCCTACCTCTACACTGTTGTACATTCCATTTATGTTCTGGAAGAGTCTCCCTGCTGAATCTTCCTTGAAATATAATCATGCTAAATCATGCCAAATTCTAAATGTCGCTTCCTTCAAAAAAGTATTTCCTCTTCATCTTAGCCTTCCTTTATTTTTTAAAACAAATATTATTGTGTGCATTTCAGTTTCACAGCATGATGTTATGTGATACATATAGATTGTAAAATAGTTACTATAGTGAAGCAAATTAACATATCTTATCTCACATAATTACTTTTTTGTGACAAGAGCAGCTAAAATCTACTTATTTTTTAAAGTTCTTAATACAGTACAATTTTATTAACTATAGTCCTCGTGTTGTACATTCAGTTACAATAGTCAATGTATGAAAACAACCTAAGTGGCCATCGATGGACAAATAGACAAACAAAATGTGATATATACATAAACACAATAGAATATTATTCAGCCTTAAAAAATATGACACACATATGCACAGTGGAATATTATTCATCTTTAAAAATGAAGGAGAACCTACCGCTTGCCAACCACCATATGAATGAAGCTGGAGTGCATTATTCTAAGTGAAATAAGCCACAAACAGAAAGAAAAAGATCACATGCTCTCACTTAAATGTGGAATCTAAAAAAAAACAGATAGGGAGATGTAGGTCACACAACACACGGTAGCTGATATCTAATCTTTCTTTTCACAAAATGTAAGTTTTTATAGGTCAAAAGTGTTTATACATTGGCAATTTCATATGAGTCAACCTAAAACCTAGTTCTCTGCATAAAATTAACATGTGGCTAATAAATATTCATTTAAATGTGTGAATTGACATTTTGAGAAAAAGAAGCAATGCAGTCCAAAAATGAAAGAAGGTCGCCCATGCTGGAGTGCAGTGGCCGGATCTCAGCTCACCGCAAGCTCCGCCTCCCGGGTTTATGCCATTCTCCTGCCTCAGCCTCCCGCGTAGCTGGGACTACAGGCGCCCGCCACCTCGCCCAGCTAATTTTTCGTATTTTTAGTAGAGACGGGGTTTCACCGTGTTTGCCAGGATGGTCTCAATCTCCTGACCTCGTGATCCGCCTGTCTCGGCCTCCCAAAGGGCTGGGATTACAGGCTTGAGCCACCGCGCCCGGCCAGGTTAATACTTTCAAAGTAAGGAGTATTAAAACTGTATCTCTCTAAATGTATGAATAATTATATATCATACATATGCATGTGTGTATATATTTTATATACATAATATATATAATTGCCTAAGGAAATTAGAAAGCACTGTGACTGGAGTGCAGAGAAGAATAAGGACAGTGAAAGTAGCAGTTACCAATGCTTGAAAGTAGCAGTTACCAATTGCTTGCTGCTCACATATGTTTCATAAAGCTGGAGGTAAACCAATAACCTGTATATACACCCGAATGTACTTTGAACTAATTGACTGCAAGGGACTCTTTAAGAACAAAGTGTTATTATTGGAACAATACTATTGAAGCATCATGTGATAATTGGAAAACAAAGTCAGGAACTGCAATTTAACTTAAAATCGAAGGAAGTTCATTTAAGTGCTCTCTTGACATTTCACTTCTTGCTAAAATCTACTTTTAAAAGTCAGATTAACCAGATTGTCCATTAACGTTGATCACATTAGCTAGATAATTGCCAAAGCTCCATTTTACTTATGCCATTTGGACACAGCATAATATGAAAATAAGGACAATGTACCTTGATGCATAACACACAGTATCCACGTAACTTCTTTTACAGTCTTTTAAAAGTGATCCTCTCTGCCTGAACCTTGATTCAACTATGTGCCTACTATTTTACATTAGGTAAGCATGCAACAGAATCATTAGCAAAGACTTCTCTGATGTCATAAAAGGAGTGCTGCTGCCTTGCCTTATAACAGTATACCCTCTTATGTAGCCAAGGACAAAGTTCATAGACAAATACGAATGACACTTTGCCAAGATTGCCTTAGTAGTACCAGTAATAAAAGACCCTGAACTGGAAGGCAAAGTCCACCTTCTTTTGCTGCATTGGCTCCTTCAGTTTACCCAGTTGTCCTGTGACTGAGGTCTTTATCACCAAGGAAACGAAGAATGTACTTTGAGGTCAAAGCAAATCTTCTGCAACCTTCCCTGTAAAAATAAAATGAGTACATTTTGTACCACCTGCATAACAGGAATAAATAATAACTGAAAAGATGTATACAATTTTGATACTTTACCCAATGAACTGATATACATCCAACCACAGGAGTCTTGACTTTTGACAGAATGTGTTTTGATAAATATGGGGATGTTTTTACTTTGTGTGGCATTGTGGTTTCTTGCTTTTTAATTTATTCAAGATTGTGTGTGTTTGTTATATGATTTGTGGAGAGACTCCAGAATCTCCTCTATTTCAAACCAGAAGAACTCTCAGATGGATAGTTAATGGATATCCAGGATATTTGCAATATTGTATATGCTTTTAAAGCATGTTTGCTGAAGGAAATAAAAGCACTGAATCGAAGCCCCAAGTCTGATTCACAACTATTACTAACAAGGTATATAATCTTGAGCAAGTTTTTTAGCCTATTTTTAGAAATCTAGTTTCTCTTTCTATAAAATTAAAATGAGACTCTGCCCTTCTATTTTATTAAGATGTCATGAGGACATGAGGATTAAAGTATGTTTCATTAAAACCCTTTATAAAGTGCAACATAGCATGCATATATCAAGTATTGCTGTTAATTTATCTTACAGAAATGTTACAGGACTTTTCCTTAGTTTAGCTAAAGACTGGGTTCTTGCCTGTCCCACGGCCATAAAAATTTAGGCTCGAAACCATCATTCTCAGGAAACTACCACAAGGACAGAAAACCAAACACCACATGTTCTCACTCATGGGTGGGAATTGAACAATGAGAACACTTGGACAGAGGGTGGGGAACATCACACACCAGGGCCTGTCTTGGGGTGGGAGGATGGAGGACGGATAGCATTAAGAGATATACTTAATGTAAATGATGAGTTGGTGGGTGCAGCAAACCAACATGGCACATGTATACCTATGTAACAAACTTGCACTTTGTGCACATGTACCTTAGAACTTAAAGTATACTAAAAAAAAAAAATAATAAATAAATAAATAAATAAATAAATAATTTAGACTCACAGAAGGTTTAAAGGGTGAGTAAAGCAGGGTTTTATTGGGTGAAAATGCGGGGGAAGAGGGAGTGAACAGGGCCTTAAGGCCAGAGTCCCCTGCTAGAGTGCTTCTGCCCGCCATTGGAATACCAGGTTCCACACAGGAAGAGGCGGGGCCAGGCTCCTCCCTGCTGCAAAGGGTGCGAACCTCCCGAGGCTCCACCTCAGTGGGCAGGCTGGTTGGAGTTTTTCCATGGCCCCCCTTTCACCTGGCTGTCTCAGAAAGATACAAATATAATGAGAATAAAGAACACTTTGGCAACTATCAGTGTTACGCATCCCTTAATAACAGGTTGGTTTTATTTCCCAAATTACTTTCTGTTGCTGTTCTGCTACTACTTTACTCAGACCATTAAAGGAGGATGGTGCATAGTGTGAATAGAGTTATGTATGGCCTCTTCTGTAATGCAAGTGGGATATCTGTTCCCTGATTGCAGCATTATAACCTCTCGTTATAGCATGCACTATAAATCATCTTGTGCAGAGGACGCAGGATTGGATCTTCGGGTAATCTCTGAATAGTGACACTCTTTATAGCAAGGTTATCCTCTGCTTTTGGCATGATAGGGAGAGTTTCCAGAATACATGACACTGCACCTTCATTATACAGTTAGATATTAGTAAAAAATCTATTTCTATTCCATGGAGCAGCTTCTAAAAGGGGCACGGTGAGGAAGCTACACATTGAACAAGAGAGCTGACGGAGAAGCATAGATGACACCAAGCCAACTAATAATAAAATAACAATATCTTATACTTCACTAACACTTTTTTGGTACTCCCTCAAAAAAGCACAAAGAAAACCCATAGACTTCTCATGTATGATTTTATTTGATCTTCACAACAATCTTATGGGGGAAGCAGGCAAAGTATGCTTACTGCCATTTCTACAGATATTTGGAGGGGTTAAGTGACTTGACCAAGGTGACAGAAATGTTCTCACTCCTCCTATAGTTCTTTCTCTAATATTTCTCACTGTGCAAAAAAGTAGACAAAAAAACATTCCACTAATTATGTTGCTTTATAAAATTTTTGTCTTACTATCTCGAATGAAGCTTGAGACAAGGTGAAGGGAATGTGAAGTGAAAGAAGAAAACACCACAATAATGTTCTTCAAACTGCATAAAATTGTGATGTAGTAGGTTTACACATAGCATTTTGAAACAGCCATCTAAGATCAGTGTGTAGCATTCATTTGAATTTTTTTGTAATTAAAATAATTTTTTTTTTTTTTTTTTTTTTTTTTTGGAGATGGAGTCTTACTCTGTCACCCAGACTGGAGTGCAGTGGTGCTATCTTGGCTCACTGTGACCTCCACCTCCGGGTTCAAGGGATTCTCCTGCCTCAGCCTTCTGAGTAGCTGGGATTACAGGCATGTAATCACCACGTCTGGCTAATTTTTGTATTTTTAGTAGAGACGGGTTTCATCATGTTGGCCAGGGTGGTCTCGAACTCCTAACCTCGTGATCCACCCACCTTGGCCTCCCAAAGTGCTGGGATTTCAGGCATGGGTCACCACACCCAGCCTAAAATAGTTTGTGAAAATAAATTCACTATAACTTTTGTGTAAGCACTTTAAGATGCATTGAAATGAAAGGTATCAACTGATTTTTAGAAACTATCTTCCAGTGATCTGGATGGCTCTGACCACATGGCCATACATCCTCAAATGTCATATACTTGTGCTGTTTTCATGCCACTCACACCAAAGAAATAAATGATAAATACATGCACGCATGGCTGAATGCCTGTTCAGAATTTAGAATTTGTCAGATAATTTTATAGGTTCTTTCATAAAAATTATACCTCTTATCATCTGAGGAGACCTTAGGTTTTTCAAGAGAGAAAGTCATCTTCAATTAGGGGCCTGTACCTTTTGGTAAACAGTGGTTTGAAAATGTGAAATAGAAGAAAATTCAACGAATGAGGATAATATAGTCTATAACTGTTAGACTCCCAAAATTAGACTTTGAGTTGCTGGAAGGATGGTAGGTTTTTCATCAGTCTCTGTTCTTTCCTCAACTGGCAGGGAATAGGTGCTGGGTAATTATTTGCTCAGTTGTTGGTTAGATGGATGGATGGATTGATGGATAAATTAAAGGTAGCACTCCCTCCAGTAAAATTTCCTACAGAAACCACATTTTAAATTTATCACGCACTTTTGAGCCTCAAAATAAGCCCTGTGAGCAAGTCTTGGGCAAAACAGTCAAAAACTAACATTCTTTTTTACTTTATTTTTTCTTTACCTTCCTGACTCTGACCTCTGCAAAAGCACCAAGTAACAAAGTAGCATGTGTTAATTGCAGTGTCATTTTATACAAATCCTCATGACATAGACAAGATAGACATTATAATCAACTTCCTTTCAAAGACTAGGAAACCAATGTTCAACGAAGGGAGTGCAGCCAAGATTTTTATCCAAGCCACCTGAATATACATTCTGGATCTTTCCTATCAAATGTTCTCTGCAATCTCATGGTCCTAGAATCTCACTCTCAGATCTCTAGCAATTAATCCTCTAGTGGTGACATAATAGTCATGATAAATACTCAAATTTAATGCTTCCGAGAGGTACTTAAAAATCTAGAAAAATGATAAAGTAATAAAAAAGTAACTTTAGAATCCCTGGATTGGCCTGCTAGCCCATGCTCCGATGTTAATGACATTGAAGGCACCCCGCTCGAGGAAATCTCAACTGTACAACCCCTACTATGCCCCAATTCAGCAGGAAGCAGTTGGAGCAGTCGTCAGCCAACCTCCCCGACAGCACTTGGGTTTTCTTGTTGAGAGGGGAGACTGAGAGACAGGACTGGCTGGATGTCCTAGGCTGACTAAAAATCCCTAAGCCTAGCTGGGAAGGTGACCGCGTCCACCTTTAAACACAGGGCTTGCAACTTAGCTCACACCCGACCAATCAGAGAGCTCACTCAAATGCTAATTAGGCAAAAACAGGAGGTAAAGAAATAGCCAATCATCTATCGCCTGAGAGCACAGCGGGAGGGACAATGGTCGGGATATAAACCCAGGCATTCAAGCCGGCAACGCCTACCATCTTTGGGTCCCCTCCCTTTGTATGGGGGCTGTCTTCACTCTATTAAATCTTGCAACTGAAAAAAAAAAAAAAAGAATCCAAAGATGTGAAATTATAGAATTCAAAAGACAAACTGCAGGAGTTGACATGTTTGGCCAGAACCCTACCCTCTGCTCCTCTTAAGTTATATTCTCAGAAGTACGTTGTTAATTAATTAATGTATTCATGCAGGAGGGAAAAGAGATAAAAACAAAACATGATTTTATTTCTCTGTTAATGTCACTTATAGCTTCTCATTCTGACCCTGCAGAGATGTTCTTTATAATGCTTTCAATAACACTTAATTGCAGAGGGGCTTAATATAACAAAATTACATTTCTTCAGCTATTGTGTTTTGCTTGTTTGTAAGTATATTCTGATTTGAATTAAAGTTTTGCCTGGAAAGTGTGAACTATTTCAAATTTCGATATTTTCCATGTCTTTTGAGAGTATCGCCTATAAAGGGCACTTGGAAAATGTTTGAACTTATTTTTATATTCTTTTGTTTCTTGCCTACTAGTCTTTCATTTCATTTTTCTTTACCCACACTCAAAGTTATTCTGACCTCAAACTTGAGTTTGGATTGTGAAATTCTCAGGTAATACGAGGTGTTGTGTTAGTTAATAAATAATATTTATTTAGTGTAGAAATTATCTGCACTAAAAAGGAGGTCTAAGAAATTGACAAACATTTGAAAAGTGTGTTTTAACCAATAATATGAGATATGCTTACAGATAACAGACAACTTTCTAGACTTGCACTCATCTCTTTTAGTTGTCTTTGTAACAGGTGACATAACTAGGTGGTTGACAAAAATGACATCACAAATTGGTTGAGAAAACCAATCATCATAGTGGCTCTTAATATTACAAT